CTATAGGATCCTATAGGTCCCTATAGGATCCTGGGGCCTATAGGATCCTATAGGGGCCTATAGGTCCCTATATGATCCCTATAGGGGCCTATAGCCGTATAGGATCCTATAGGCCAATTTAGAATCCTATAGGATCCTATAGGAACCTATTGGCGAAAAACCTATAGAATCCTATAGGAATTTGTCCTATAGGATCCTATAGGATTTTGTCCTATAGGATATTTTTGCCAGGGTAGATTGAAATACATCAGCGGTAAGCAGTAGAATAGCCCCTGGATAGCCGGGAATGTGAGTAAATATTGCTGTTGTACGCCACACGATCATAAAATAAATAGAATAAAGGCTAGAAAGAATCGTATTCTTATATTTATTTAGGCCAGCATAAACACCAATACACCATGTCATTTTCAATACATATGTGTATTGAAAATGACCAAAATTGCCTTCTTTGTTTTTTGAGAACTAATAAAATATTGATGCATCTTTCTGGCTAGTATTCTCCCGATCGCCAAACCACGGTTTTACGTTCGTGAAATTCGTGAAAAAAGTAAAGTAAATCCACAGACGTACAGCTACTGTCTTTTTTCATTATGGTCGAATTTTGGTTTAAAACATTTTGTTTTAAATAATAACATTAGATTCAGAAATTCTGTATACTTTCTGAAATTTGACCATGATTGGAGCAGTATTGGCTGAACTGTGTCCAATTTTCTCCTACTACCAAGGTCTTGTTTACTCATTGTGAAGGCCATTTAGGCAGCATGCAGGCAATTAGCAATCAATCATCCAACCCATCAGTGACCTTTCTTCTAAGGGGAAGAATTTCTTCATGGAAATAGATTTCAGATGGTAACAGCATTCAATTCAATTAAAATCAAAGATTAAGATATACATTTTATTGACCATAATTATTAGAGTATTGTATAATATATGAAAACGCAACAAAATGAATAGCATGAAACACATACAAATTCCATTATGAATATAGGCCTATTACCGTAAATGGAAGAGAAAATGTTCAGTAGAAAAATAAAATGTTGTCAGTAGAAAGATAGCAAAACAGAAATAAAAAAAATACTTAGGCCTATGATAAACCGATTGACGAACTAATTATAATAATATATAGGGCCTAGGCATTTTGCGTTTTCGCAACTCCTTCGGCGCTCCATATATTTGTTCGAAATAAACCGACACCAAAATGAGGCGCGACCGAAACGAAGCGCGACCGAAATGATCGGCTACGCTAGTTTAGAATACTACTCGTAGTACTAGGCTAGGGCCTAGGTCCTACTAGTACGTAATACTACCTCGCTAGTAATTTGTAGGCCTTGGGTAGGCGGCGAGTAAGTCAAATAAATGGTAGGCCATAAAAGGGACTGAAGAATCTTTACCTTTATATTTGGCCTTTTCCAGGAATCGGTATTCTTAGGCTTAGGCCTAGACATCTTGATCGTTGATGATGTCTATTATCAGGTTTGCCAGATACTCGATGCGACAGCAGCATGACCACTCACAATTTTTGATATACCCAATGACTGGGTCGAAATTACCCAGGATTCAGCAAAAATTGCCCAAAATTACCCAAGCTTCCTGAAAATGCATTGAAATTTGAAAAATATGTGTTTTTCGCATGTATAGTTTCCCTTAGTTCAATTTATCAACCATTTTTATTGTAATTGTTTGTGTTAATAAAGCCCCATTCCCGGCAAAATTTCAATTTTTAAGAAAAATCTAATTTTTGTATAATGTTATAAAGATTTATAAATATAATACGGAATTGCTAGTTTAACTGAATTTAGACATTCCTAAGAATGAAAAAAATGTAAAATAAGACTGAAATTTGATTGTTTGTGTTCCCAAGGTAATTCAACAAAAGGACGCACATCTCCGCTCTCGAACATAGCGCGTGCGTACAGTCCTTTGATCTTTACTGTGGCATCGACAATCCGATACTAGTTGCGAGTACAGCCGTCAATTATTATTCTATGCGTGCCATTCGTTTTATGGTGTTAGTTTTTATTTTATTAATTTTGGGTACTTCGCAAAGTCTGTTACATTTGATTTTTTTTTACCGCGAGCTTGTTAAATGCTTCTATAAACTGCAATTTGATACACATCTAGATGTGTATAAAAAATGAAAAGTTATAGCAATTCAAAATTTACGAATTTTATAAAATTTCATGTTCTTATGTAACATTAATCTGTCATTTTGACAATGTTGGCATAAGGTGCCGAGGACGAACATTTGAGTATATACCGAACATTTATTAATTTTTTCTGCGAAGTGAGTCTCATGAACGACAATTCACCACAATTTTGGTAAAATTAATGTTGAAATGAAGAATATATTTCAGTCTAATGTTAGTGCAAAATATCATTAGGCCTTTGTAATCACCGCACGACGCGCGACTAACATGGCAACTAACACGCGCGTGGGTAAATCGTCACGTACGCTGACGGTTTATGGTCTGGTTGCAATGGTTTTTGTGACGTTCAGCGTGTAGGGACGCACGTGCGCCTAGAATGTCGATGCCAGAGTTATAACCTTTGATGTCCCGAGATGTGCGTCCTTTTGTTAAATAGACCTTTCCGCTAAGCCCCGCCCCTTGGATATTGTTGCTAAGGTCCCACAAACAACATCATTTTGTAGAAGAAAACATGGCTGGCTGTGCGGTCGCGGGCACAGAGTGGTTGTTAGGTATTCCAGACAATATCTGTTTTACGTTTCTGCCGAATCATAAAAATGTATCAGAAAGTGTCTTAAAAAGAGGTCTAAATTACTATTTGCAAGTATACATTCATATAATTAAAATAATGACACTAAAACTAAGTTGATGGAAATTACTGGCGATTGATGCGGTGTAGCGCTTGTTGCTATTCGGATGTCGTTAAGTACGCACTGGTGTTCACGCTGATGAACTTCTATAATCGTCATCGGCGTGTAGCGTAGAACACTAGTGCGTACTAACTTCAAATACCGCTTATATTGGCACTTCGATAGTCGACGTACACTAAGATAGACCAGTTATATATTTCTCGTTCCTAAGTGTCCGTAGGACCAGTTTGTCATCTACCACGGTAAGTGGAAATACAGTACTTATCTATTATGTTAGTTACTCTATAGACGACACGTTAGTGATCGATTCTATAATGGCGACGAGGATTTAAGAAGACTTAATGTCTTGGGGGCGTGTTTCAATACTTTTTTGGCGATTCGCCGAAAAGTTTACCGCTCAATTTCGCCACACTTTAGGTTTGATGACAGGAACACCGCCAGAATAAGGCTTCGGGTGTTGCCTCAAAGAACTTGTGCATTATTTTTATGTTAGAATACCGACAGAATAAAGATTGGGGTATTCGTCCTTTTAGTGTCGAAGGAATAGGATTCGGGCACAACGTTATTTATTATTTAGATCTTGATTTCTGTGAAATTGGTCGTATTTTGTGTTAGAACATCGCCAGAATAAAGCTTCGGGTGTTCGCTCGTACCGTCGGAATAAAGATTCGGGTACAAACCAAAATTTTAGTTAGTGTTTCAAGCAAGAGTCGGCAGCATTGTAACACGTATTTTATGTTTATTTATTATTTACTAGCCGCATTAGTGTAAAATAATTAGGCGTAGCATAATTATTAGATCCTAGGTGATCCTAGATAAATTTTTAAACCTAGCTGCGCATTAAGAATATTTTTACGAGTGCAAACGGTGTCGAATACTTAGTGCGCCGCCATTTGATTGGAGGCGAGTAGAGACTGTCTGACCAATGACGACATTTTACGTTGCACGCGAAAATCTTCAGCTTGTTGCTGGGGCGCGTTGGCCAATGAGAGACGAGGTGGGCGGAGCTACACCACGCCGTCATTCATGGCTCAGCGTAATTTTCTCTATCGGTGCGCTGATGGAATGGATACGGTGAATTAATAGTAACGCCTTAATTTCTTTTTGTAAGTTTTTTTTTTATTGTTCAAGATGATGCTTTTTAAATAGTAAGTATTTCTTTTCTTTCTATTGTATTATTTAGGAGTGTTAGTTGTTTATATTATATTGATAGTTAGGATATCTTTGCAAATCAATTTTAGCAACTAGAGTAGCGACGGAATAAAGCTTCGGTTACTCTCTCTCTAGATTTGATAGATGTTTAATATATTCTATCGTTTTATATATTTAGGATAATTTTACATGTCAATTTTGACGATCTGGATAGCGACGGAATAAAGCTTCGGTTATTCTCTTTTCAGTCTTGATCTGTTTAACTTATTCTATTATTCTTAGTTAAGGTATTTTTATACGTCAATTTTTGCGACTAGAGTAGCGACGGAATAAAGCTTCGGTTACTCTCTCTCTCTAGATTTGATTAACGTTTAACGTACCTAATGACATTTATACAGTTTTATTTATTAATTTATTTTTTTTTTTTTTTTTGGTCATGTTATTTTAGTTGACGTTAGTAATAGTTGTTTGTGATTATTATTTCTTTATTGACCTAATTATTGTTATAGATAATAGTATTGATTTATCTAAGTTTTTCTTTTCTTTTTTTCTATCAATAAATATTTTTCCGAGTCTGTGTGTTTTATTTTATGATTACTGTCTTGTATGTTCTTTATTCTTCAATATTGTTTCTATGATAATTGTCTTGTGTGTTCTAAATTCTTAAATAATTATCTTCATAATAAATTAAATATGGTGTAAACTCAAATGCGATTACAAGTATGTTAGCGTGATTATTCGTGATTCGGGCGGTCTGACGTTAAGCACAGTATCATTCCATCGCGTAAAGAGATGAGTTACGTTATAATTAAATAATATATAGTATAGTCTTGCATAATAGTTTATACTTTAAGTAAAATTCTAGTATGATGTAATTTAATGCGCAATGTGTAAGAGCCGGGCGTTTATACTGTTTCACCTATCCATCCACAGCGATGCAGACCGATTATGAGCATGAAATGTTGGAAAGTCCAGCAATTTCTATTAACTTTGGGAAGAGGATACGCCATTTTAAGGGGCTACCAGAGGCTACAGTGGAGAAGATCTATCGTTACCGTGATCTGTACGGTAATATTCACTCCTTGGATGAGTTCAAATTTGCGATTCAGGGTGAAATAGTGAATGTGGATAATTTGTTGGTGGATTATACACTGAATCCGCGATATGCCCATGGAGGTATACGCAATGAGGGTAATGGCCCTAATGGTTTAGGCGATGCAGATGGGGAATTAGTCACTGGTGAGGGAGATATCGCTCAGCAGAATGAGGATGACTTGGGTCCCATAATGCCTACAGCCAGGGATGGTTATGCCGGACGGGAGCAATTGCTTGATGTTCGTGACGCCGGTGGTTATGATCGTAATTATTTTGACGACTCTACATATAGACGTGCTCATCATGATCATGTTATGTTGGATGGTCGAGAAGCTGGTTATCCTGAAGGCGGTCGAGAGTGGCCGCGTAATAATTATGTTCCGGGGGGAAATGATCGGAATCCTGATTACGGGCGACAACGCCCAATGCATCAAGATATGGGAATAGGTGATCGGAATTCTTATGTTCCGGGGGGAAATGATCGGAATCCTGATTACGGGCGACAACGCCCAATGCATCAAGATATGGGAATAGGTGATCGGAATTCCAGGAGATATGATAATGGTTACCAGCGTGAAGAAGCTCATAGACGTCAACCTTTCAAACTACTAAAACACCTTGAATATTCGGGACGTGATGACTGGAATGTTTTCAAGGATCGTTTTGAATCTTATGCTAGAACCAGTGAGTGGGATGCTAGTGAGAAGAAAGAGGCGTTTTTCTTAAGCATGAAGGGAAAAGCAGCGTCTTATCTACAAACATTATATACTCTTCATGGTGACGCTATAGCTTACGATGATATTGTGAAGGCGTTTAATGGATATTTTGGCTATGACGAACCACAGTCAGTTCTTGCTGCAAAATTTCAACAACTGAAACAGGAGGATCGTGAAACCTTGCATGATTGGGGTTCTCATGTCCTGAAGGCGGCAGCAAGAGCATATAAAGGGGGAAACACTAATGACTGGATTCAAGAAACAGCAGCGATGCGTTTATGCATGGGTTGTCAAGATTCTGAGGCAGGCGGATACGCCGGGCTTCAACGTCCGGTTGATATCAACAAGGCTATACATCTCATTGAGTGGTTTAAGTGTGTTAAGGGCAAGTCTAGTCAACCTAAATCATCTACATCTGAATCTAATCCTCTTCAATCAAAAATTTGCCAGGTATCTAATCCTAGTGACATCGATTCTCAAAAATCAGTTTCTGAAGAAATGGATCAGGGGTATATTAATGAGATGAGACGTAATACAAATTGGCATCGACCAAATAAGTTTGGGCGACAGTATTCGCCCGCACCACAGCGTCGTGAGTATAATGACACCAGGGGTAAAGGAAGTGATAATCAGGGTGATTTGAGTTCCCGTATAACAAGCATAGAACAGATGGTGGCAACGTTAACTAAACGTTTTGAGAGGGTGCTGGAAAAGTTGGATGCACCGAGGCAAGATCGACACAAATCCCCAGTCCGACGCAAATCACCAGAGCGATCGGGAGAATGCTATTCATGCGGGGAGGAAGGTCACTATAGAAATGATTGCCCAAACCGACAAGCCGTGGAAAGCTCTATCAAGAAAACAGTGAGGATAAGGAGTCCAGGCCGTGAATCTAATTTGTCTTTAAACAATTAAGGGTCGAGTCCGACCATAAATCATTGTGTAACAAACAGGGCGAACTCGCTCTTATTAGTGTGGGTCCAGTTCGTAATGAGGATCTGGAATCATTAATAGTTCAGAGAGTAAAATCTGATTCATTGTTACATACCAGAGTCACCGTTGATTCGACAGTGATTGATGCGGTAGTAGACTGTGGGGCTACCGTGAGTATATAGCTGAGAACGTTTATCGTGCGCTTAATCCTAAACCACCTACGGTGGGTAAAATTAGACTCTTAATGGCAGCCAAAGGTGCTTGCATGCTAGGGCGAAAAGTCGGCCCGGTACAACTCAAAGTGGGAACAACCAACTAACCCATGATTTTGCATGTGGCACCAATAGAAGATGATATGCTATTGGGTCTAGATTTTATGAAGGGTAATCAGGCGGATTTAAATATAGGTGAATTGAAGTTAAAAATTGGCGACAGCACGGTTCCACTGTACAGCACGAACGGAACGTGTCCGCCATCAATATGTAGAGTAGTTGTGCAGAAACGGCGAGTGATACCACCTAATTCTATAACATTTGTAAAATGTCATCTTGAAGCTGATTTGTCCGATTATATTATTGAACCGCATCTACATCAAAGTTTAATTATACCCAAAACTCTACATACCTTAGGCGATTCGCCTAAAATTTGTGTGGTTAATACCACTGATAAGTATATTACGTTAAGTAAGGGACGTGGAATAGGTACTGCGGAGGAAGTGGATGTCCAGGTTCCGGATATTAGCTCATCTCCATCTAATTCTGGTACCGGTAATGATGAAATGGCGAATACGCCAGAGCATGTAAGGGCGATGTGTAAATCGTCAACGGAAGACTTGCCAGAGGACCAGAAGGAACAAGTACATCATCTCCTTACTGAATTCAGTGATGTATTTGCGAAGAATCAGTTCGACATTGGGGAGGTACCCCATATTGAGCATCGCATCGATACCAAAGATGCACCGCCGGTTAGACAACGTTTACGGCGTACTCCACTACATTTTGCGGGAGAAGAGAAAAAAGAAATAGATACAATGCTTAAAGGCTGTCTCTTATACACATCTAGATGTGTATAAGAGACAGGTTTAAGTGTGTTAAGGGCAAGTCTAGTCAATCTAAATCATCTACATCTGAATCTAATCCTCTTCAATCAAAATACTAGATGATTGCCTAGATACTTTAGCTGGAAACCAATGGTTTTCTAAATTAGACGCAATATCTGGGTATTGGCAGGTCAACCTGAACGCCGAGGACCGCAGGAAAACTGCGTTTGTAACCAAGTATGGTCTTTACGAATTTGTTAAAATGCCGTTTGGTTTATGTAATAGTCCGGCGACGTTTTCAAGAGTAATCAGCATGGTTTTACGCGGGCTGAGTTGGCAAACAGCTCTAGCGTTTTTGGATGATGTTGTAATTCTAGGCAAATCATTCAAAGATCATTATGATAATGTAAGAGAGGCTTTAGGGCGTTTTCGCCAATTTAATCTTAAGCTCAAACCTAAGAAATGTATTTTCTTTCAAAAGAAGGTAGAATTCCTGGGGAGAATGGTATCAAAAAATACGATTGAGATGTCGGATACCGATATTGAGGCAATCAACGACTGGCCAATACCAAGAAGCTATAAAGATGCCCAAAGATTTCTTGGGTTGGCAAATTATCATCGTTCATTTATTCCGCATTTTGCAGAATTGACTCGATCTTTGTACACCATTGCAAAGAAGGGGGAATTCCGCTGGGAAGCTGAGCAACAATCGGCTTTCGAGGCGATCAAGAATAAGTTAAAGCAACCCCCAGTACTTTCTCTTCCAAATTCACAGGACATGTTTGTCTTGGATACTGACGCCTCTGATCAGGCGATAGGAGGGGAATTGCTACAGATCCAACATGGTCAGGAGAGGGTAATTGCATATGCCAGCCTTGCATTATCTGCAGAACAGCGTCGTTATTGTACGACGAGGAAAGAACTGCTGGCTATAGTTAAATTCACACGACAATTCAGGCATTATCTTCTGGGTAAACCATTCAAGGTGCGTACTGATCACAGTAGTCTCACATGGCTTCTTCGGTTTAAGGAACCACAGGGTCAACTGGCTCGCTGGATTGAGGAACTCAGTCAGTACGTGATGGTGGTCGAACATCGACCAGGGAAGAAACATGTTAATGCTGATGCATTGTCGCGAGCGCCTGAAAAGGCGAATCATTATAAGCATGGAGTCGATCTTGACGATTTGCCTTGCGGTGGGTGCAAATATTGCCAGAGAGCGCATCAACAATGGGCGACTTTTATAGAAGACGTGGATGATGTTATTCCGTTATCTGCTACACCTGATAAAGCACCTATACTGGTATCATCGCAAGTAAATAAAGTGATCACGAGGAATTCTGTTCCACTATGTTGGGGATTGTCTGTAACGGAAATTGAGCAAGTACAATCTCGGGATGAAGAATTAGCACCAACACTGACATGGTTAAAAGATGGCGTATCGCCGTCTAATAATGAATTATTCTCAGCCGGGCAAGCTGCTAAGCATTATTGGTTGAGTAAAGACAGAATGTGTCTAAGGGACGGTATCGTTTTCATCAGAAATAAGCACACTGAAGATCAGTTGTTGTTATTACCCAGGGAGTTGGTCAAAGAAGTGCTATATAGGTACCACGATTTACCATCTGCTGGACACCAAGGCGCGAATCGTACTAAACTTCGCCTTAAACAAAGATATTACTGGTATGGGATGACTGGCGAGATCGAACGCTATGTCACTGGCTGTGAAATCTGTAATCGCCATAAGAAAGGAAATAGTAAATTAGGGCGTTTCCAACATGTTAATTTTCATTCGGGTATTCCGATGGAAAGAGTACATGTGGATTATACAGGTCCATATCCTAAGTCCGATCGTGGGAACATTTATGTTCTTATGG